ATAGAGGGCGTCGCGTGGTCAGCGCAACGAATCCCCACGGCCGTTAATTTCAATTTTCTAAACCGGGGCCGCTATTTCCTTGAAATAGGTCCTTAATTATCCTCACGAGGCTGAGTGGACCCCGTTCCAGACACACTACTTCCCCAAGAAAATCTGATAGCGCCGGGAATCGAACCCGAACCTCTGGATCTGTAGCCAGGAACGCTGACCACTAGATCACAGAGGTGGCCAAACTCAACAAGGAAAGCTAATTTTTAGACTGAGATTGAAATGCTGGAAGTTCAGAAATTGAAGCAGGATTTACAATCACTGAGCCACGGGTTCACAGAAGCTGTTGGCCGCCAGACGTATGCTCTGAGGGATTGCGCGGCTTATATTTCCTTACGAATTAAGGCACAAAGGCTAAAACGCTTGGCACCCTGCAGATATTCTGTGTTTAAACCTTTATAGGTCTTTGGCCTCTGTGTGTACAGTCTGTTATTATGTTTATGTCGCTGCTTGTCGTTCACAGAGTCTGCTAATAGATTCAATTTTGTGTCAGAAACTTTTCCTGAAACTGATCCAGAAGGTAAAATTATGTGTTTTCTTGAAATTTAAAAACGGTATTTTTTAATATTATTTAGATGAATTAGAGTTAATCCGAGTTGACTCTGTTAGAAGAGAAATAAGGCTTAAGGTTTTAAAGTCCAGTGGCTACTATATGTACAACCTGCTTTAAAACATACTAAAACTCCTCATTCTACCAACACAAAAACAACACACTCTGTGGTTTTAGTCCGCAAGCGAACCATACCGACCGAGCGACCGTCGTGTCGGCGAAGTTAATGCTAACTTTAGCGGAGAGAGGGTGCCGCGTGGTCAGCGCAACGAATCCCCACGGCCGTTAATCTCAGTTTTTTCAGACTAGAGTCGCTATTTCCTTGAAATAGCTCCTCAATTATCCTCACGATGCTGAATAGACCTCGTTCCAGACCCACTAATTATAAAAAAACCTGGTACCGCCGGGAATCGAACCCGGACCTCTGGATCTGTAACCAGAAACTCTGACCACAGAGGCGGTTTTCTACCCATGCAGATCATGTATATTTCGTGTGGTTTTCACAATAAACAGCAATAACCGGTCGGTCTTTGTAGCAGAAATGTAATGTGTTTGCTTTGAGGTACGAACTGAATATTGATAAATTATTTGAAATAAATGTACTGTTTAAAGAATTAATAATTCATATGCGTATTGGATGGTACCGGAACAACAGTTGTGTAACGAAATCTCCGCTTTCCACGTGTTTACTTCTGCAAAACACAATTCTTGAAAGTTAATTTTTGATAATTACATTATATGAAACGTTTCCACTGCTATGTTACAACCCTATTGCATTCATTGCGTCGGTCTTTCGGCAGCAGATGTGGAAATGCCGTACAGGAAAACCAATTACAGAAACAAAAGTCAGCATTGTAAAGCAGGTTACTACTATAACCCGAAAGAGTTTTAATCGACAAATCAATTATTGTGAAATTAAGTGACGTATATATGTCACAATTAAAGACTACTATATAAATGCATGAACAGGAACTCGCCTGAAGTTGTATTAAGTACTGACTGTATGTATATTGCTGATAACAGTAGCCGCGCGGTCTAAGACATGAAATGTCTTCGCCCGCTCGAACGCTGGGATTGTGGGTTCGAATACCGCTCAAAACACGTATATCTTAGTTTATTCTGTGTTTGTGTTGCCCTGTGTAGGTAACGGTCATGCGTCGGGCTGATCCCCCGTCCAAGGTGTCCTACCGACTCTCTAAGACTAATAAACTGAAGTGAAACTCAGCGTTTCACGGATGCCCTATGCTCCAAGTGCGAGCAACAGGAACAGACAGATGCATATTGCTATATGGATCAGTGCGATGGGTTCTTGATGAAATAACAAGAAGTACTTAATGGCCATTACCATTTATAGGAGGGATGACCAAATAACAAAACAAACTCCGTGGCTTTAGTCAGTAAGCGAACTATACCGAGCAAGCCACCGCCGCTTGTCGGCGAAGTTAGTGCCAACTTTTGCGGATAGAGGGTGTTGCGTCGTCAGAGCAACGGATCCCCACAGCCGTTAATTTCGGTTTTCTAGACCGGACAGAGGGGTGACCATGATGATAAAACACTGAAAATGAATTAAATGCATTTGACATTGTAAGCAGAACAGAACGAGAAGAACTGGACAATTTTGTCGATATAGATCGAAAGGCAGGAGGGGAAAGGGGAAAGACCGGCACGGAACACAGCGATTGCAGCTATAACAAGGCTAATCTGTAGCTATGATGATGCGCTGTGAACAAAGCCCCGTGTGAACATACAGGTGGCTGTAACAGACCGCGAAACGACTGGTGATTGTCATCCATCACACATAGCAGATTTCAGGCTTTCACAGCGGTTCAGTACCAATTCTATCCTGTTTCAGACAGATGGCACCATGCGGGTGAACGTTGTATCGGAAATCCCTTATTCTGACGGAGTAGTTCCCATCGATTTATAGGTCTGTAATAAAATTATTGGCAGGGATAATTGGGTAATCACTTAGCCTTGAAGATGGATACAGCAAGGATCTCTGAACCGTCGCCCAAAGAGTCTGCATCTTCATGGTGATGTCACCCAGACACAGGATACAGAGTCCTGCTTCGTTTTAAACATTCAGCGCGTTCCCTTATATGTAACGGAAACAGCATTTGCTTCACGTCTGTACGTTTACTCTTCGGTCTCTCCGTCCAACCTACACCCACAACAATTTGTCTAAATAGACTTCCATGCCCTCATTTGCAGATAATTTGTATCTTAGAGGTAAGGTTAAACTATCCCTGTAATAGGCCCCCGCCATAGCTCAAGCGGTTAGTCGCTGGCTTCCCAAAGCGGTGGACCGGGTTCGATCCCAGGTCTGGTCAAATTGGATTGGTGGTGGACAAAGTGGCGCTAGGGCAGGCTTTCTCCGAGTACTTCGGTTTCCCCTGCCAATCTTCATTCCACCAATTGCTCCACAAATACCCTCACCTATCATCTGGAGTTGGTACAATAGGCCAGAAGTGGCCGCAGTACAAGGAACTTAGTCCCACCCCACTAGCAATAAAAAGAATTCCTGGAACAGGCCATGGAGGACAACAGGGTTATGAGAGGTCAAGGCTCCCACATTTTCTAGACAATCGACTCAGAGATGGCGTGAGGCTGCCAGCCTTACGCGCCGTACACCCTTTACTCCCAGGAAAATTCCTGGTACTCATTTCTGTTAGAGGCTGAGTCAAGCCCAGGTCCATAGTGCGACTGGGAGGATTAGGTCAGTTGAAAAATCCAATGATCTCATCGGGAATTGAAGCCGCGACATCCCGGCTTGTAGCATAGCACCTCAACTATGGAAAATTGCTGAAGTAGGACGAGTCTTAATAACGTAACAAATCGCTTCTTTCCCGCAGGGCGAGTGCCTGTTGAAGCGATTCTTTAATGCCCACTGTCTCTGGTGATACATTTTTTCTGTGCTTACAACTGCCTACTCATCTGTCTCTAATGCATGAAACAACTTCATGCTGCAACAGAAATATGGACACGCAATAAAGTAAATATTCACTTTTTTTATTTATTGAGGTGGGGTGAGACTGAGTCCACTTGGTACGTCGGCCACTAATTGGTATATTGTACCAGCCCCGGATGATAGATGATGATGAATGTTGAGCAGACGGAGGAATGAGAATTGGCAGGGGAAACCGAAATACTCTGAGAAAACCTGCCCCAATGTCACTTTGTTCACCACAATTCAGCATGACCTGACCTGGGCTCGAACCCGGGCTGCTGCGCTGGAAAGCTGGCGACTAACAGCCTGAGCTATGACATGACCCTTCACAAATATTACTAATATTTATATATAAACTTTAATCTCGTCCACCTTCCCGTTATCACTAACCGTCAGCGTAAAAATAAAAACGCACATTTGGCAGTTTTCGCTAAATGTTCGCCATGCCGAAATATTTTGCGCCGGCAGGATAAACAGTTATATGAGCCTTCTTTATGTTATATATACATATATATACAGGGCTTGTGAGAGGTGAGATGGGGCTCGGGCCAGTCAAAAATGTGGGACCCCATCCCATTTCAAATGCCACACAAATATATATTTAATAAATCGGATTTTATATTAAACAAATATCGGCGAGAGGCCAAAAATAATGAATCAACAAAACAGAAAAACAAAAACTCCCGTGGTTTTAGTCCGCAAGCCAACTATACCGACCCAGCGACCACCGCTTGTCGACGAAGTTAGTGCCAACTTTTGCGGATAGAGGGTGCCGCGTGGACAGCGCGGCCGTTAATCTCGGTTTTCTAGACTGGAGGCGCTATTTCCTTGGAATAGTTCCTCAATTATCCCCACGAGGCTGAGTGGACTCCGTTCCAGACTCACTATTTCTCAGAATATGTGGTAGCGCCGGGAATCGAACCGGGACCTCTGGATATGTAGCCAGGATCTCAGACCACTAGGCCACAGAGGTGACTGAGTCAACATCTCAGTTGATCTGAATCCCTACATGCTTTCTTATTTGCGTATTATAATTTTCAAATTACATTGGCGTATACTTTGGGAGGGGTGGCACTATGCCCGAGCTCTGAGCCAAAATGGCACTACCGCCTTCCTCTGTATGAGCCTATATATACACAAAACATACACATAATGAAACTGAAAGCGATTGGTAATGAAGTGACTTATGGAAGTTCTGTCTGTGAGCTCTAGTTGTTACTCCGCTTACCTTCCTGGTTTCATAAGAGCAGGACACGTTCAAGACCGGGCAGATGCCGATGCACGTGCATAATTCTGATGCATGCTGAAAACGAACTGGTCACATATGAGCCACGCGTCGACATACGAGTGCATCTCATAAGCACACTTATCTCTGCTCTTCTATGAATCGTTAAAGTAATTCAGGTTGCATACGCTCTGAGGCTGAGGCGTGACAAAGGGGCGATATGTTTGCAGGGAATATACCCAGGCGGGACGCCACGACGCTGGCTGGGGGTCCCGGATTCGATCTCAACATCCCCGAGAACTGCACGTTCGAGCCACCCCTTGAGTTCATCGATCAGGTGACTCTGAGCCCGCCAGAGGGCTACAAGGACGTGGTGCGCCACCATCATCACTCTCCCGGTGAGTACCAAGTGTCACGCAATGAGCATATCATTAGGAAAGAGCTGGTTGCATAATCACATGTAGATTAATGGAGAAAGTGAAGCTCTGAAGACAAACTGTGTCAGTACATGTGCACTGCCAGTTTCATTTGTTTTCGTGCGCTTACTTTTCAGCCATACTTGCTAAAGCGTGGTGGTAATATATTTGTACTACAGACAGATCGCAGGCAGAAACATATGCATGGGACTTTTTTTTACAGTCAACAGTGATTAATCAAAATTCATGAAATTAAAACTTGGAAACTAGGCCGTTATGTAGTCATACAATTCTGACCTCTGAGCATGAAGATTGTAAAAGATAAAACTGTCAGTGCCACATGTTCTTATTTTCTTTGCAAAGAAGTCCTTAGTGACATGACTGTTTCGGTTATAAAACGAAACATTCTGATGTAAAATTTATAAGCTTTATCCAATAAATGTGCTATTCCAAAATTTAGACACTATCCGACATGGGCATTCCTTCAAAGCTAGACTTCATCTAACAAATATATTGTTCGAGAAATATCCGTCATCAAATAAGTGTACTGTTCGAATATTTAATTCAACCAACAAGCGCATTCTTCCAAAATTATTTACAAGTGTAATTTTATAGAATTAGACTTCATCATCTGAGAGAATTTCTCCATAACCATATTCTGTTCCACAAGTGTGTTACTCGAAATGTATACTCGATTCAATAAGTGTATTGCTACGAAATGTTGACTTCTTCGAACATGTGTATTATTTCAGAATTTAAAATTTCTTACAACAGATATATTTCTTAACGTTTTTACACATCTGTGAAATAGAGACCTACGTATGAATTTGATTGTAAATAGCGTAAAGTTATTTCTTCCTTGATATGTGACGTTATGTCTTGTTTCATTTATGATTTCAAAGGTAAGAATAAAATGTTCTCAGACGTGTCATCATATTTTGTAAAGTAACCTGTCCAAAAGATTTACATAAATAATTTCGCAAATTGAAAAGTTACGGCAGATTTAAACTGCCATGAGAGTCGATGGAAACATGGCGTTGGACAGATTGTGGTTTTGTAAAAACCCAAGACATTCATCTTTTTAGGATTATGTACTGAGATTTAAGCCTCAGAAGCAAGGGTTCTTGTCCCACAACTTGCATCCCTCTCCAAACATTATACTTCAAAACTCTGTTTACCGTTCAGACATAACAGAGTCGGTAATGATGCTTGGTAAACGCCCAAGTCCCTTCATTTCATTTATAACTTTCATATTGAAACTTTTTTCCCCCCTCTCAGCTTTAAGCACTGGATTTCTTCAGTTCGTGTTCTCCCTAGGAACTCGAATATGGATACTGCAACGAGGGGAACTCGTAATGTCTATGGAAACCATTAGTAGAACGCATGGAAACTTGGCTACTGTAGCGCCTTCTATTGAAAGGCATGGCTACTGGGCCACCTGCCAGATTATTGCACAAACATGAGCATACAGCGTCCTGTTTGTTTGCATTTCGATACAACAGTTCATTCAAAATGAATTCACTCCTCTATAAGTCATTCATATATTATTTATGTAAATTCGAATTGTCAATTAACCGAACCAGCTCGACCAATTAACGCGTCTGCTAAACAAACATAATTGTTGGGGTTTTCAAAATAAGGTGTTCAAAATTGTTAATTTGTAATTATATTTATTAGTTATTTATTAATTAGTGTTGAATTTTTTGTTTTTATTATAATAATACAGTATATTATAACAGTGTTACAACAGTGTTTTCTTAAGTGGATAACAATTTAATCCAATTATCCTAACCACTTTGTCACTAATTCATTCAAATAAGCGTCCTTCTACTGTACTTACTCATGGAGCTGAGCCCTTCTGGAGGAGCCGCCAATTCTGCAGCTACTCAAGAATTCCCCAGCATTTTATGGAACCCGAAGGTTCATTACAGTTGTCACAAGAGCCCCCCCTTGGTCCCTATCCTGAGCCAGATCAATCTAATCCATAACATCCCATCCTATCTCTCTAAGATCCATTTTAATATTGTCCACCCACCTACGCCTTGGTCTTCCCAGTAGTCTCTTTCCTTCTGGCTCTCCCACCAATATCCTATATGCATTCCTCGTCTCCCCCATTCGTACTACATGCCCTGCCCACCTCATCCTCCTATGACTTGATCATTCTAATTATATTTGGAGAAGAGTACAAGTTATGAAGCTCCTCATTGTGCAGTTTTCTCCAACCTCCTTTCACGTCATCTCTCTTCGGTCCAAATATTCTCCTCAGCACCCGTCCTTCTACTGTACCTGTTTAAAGTAAAAGGCGCCCGCACCGCAGCTCGGTGTAGATAAGTGGCCTGTTGAAATAAGTGACCAAAACGGATATTTGCAAGGAAAACTGTATCGGTACAGTAGCTCAGTTGTGTACCATGTTTTAAGTCGTGGTTTGAACACTTCCATCCGCTCCGTGAAGTATCGGCCGTTGGCTCAGGCGAAAGGCCTGATTGGTAGGAATGAGAATGCTCTCGTAGGAGTGATGCACACCCTGGCGGTAAAATACATGACACTCCAGGGGGTAACTTCCCCACCCTATTAAACTGTTAGGTACCATTGTGTGCACTAGTGGCGTAGGTGAAACTGCACTCAGGAAATGTAGGTTGTTCCAAAACGGAACGGATGAATTCGTCACGGGTTTCACCTAACTGTATCGCGAGGTGTGTCGCATCAATGTCCACTGTTTTGCTGTGAGGCTAGCACAGATATGCTGTACGAGCCACTGCCTCGAACAGTTGATTTATTTGTATATTTATTTTATATAGAAGCGCAACAGGAATTTGTCACGAATTCCACGTAACCGCATCGAAAGTCTGAGGCTATTTTATGTTTATCTATTCCTCTAAAAGACTGGGGGGGCACTGCAGGCAATAGAGGTCTAAACTGCAGAGACTTTTATCGTACCGTTTCTTTTTAATGCTAGCTGTACAGAAAGACTTTTCTAGAATTTGTCATATTTTATTGAATTTGAAGAGGGCGCAGGAAGGCTAATGAACTCTTTACAATTTTTTATAGTTGTGATTTTATGTACTCTTCTGCAAGCATAATTAGAATGATCAAGTCAAGGAGGATGAGGTGGGTAGGGCATGTTGCACGAATGGGGAGACAAGGAATGCATATAGGATACTGGTGGGTAAGTCAGAAGGAAAGAGACCACTGGGAAGACCAAGGCGTAGGTGGGTGGTCAATATTAAAATGGATCTTAGAGAGATAGGATGGGATGGTATGGATCGGATTGATCTGGCAGGATAGGGACGAGTGGAGAGCTCTTGTGAACTCGGTAATGAACCTTCGGGTTCCATAAAGTGCTGGGAAATTCTTGAGTAGCTGCAGAATTGGTTTCTCCTCAAGAAGGACTCAGCTCCATGAGTAAGTAAGTATTTTTTTTATTGCTAGTTGGGTGGGACTAAGTCCCTTGTACTGCAGCCACTTCTGGACTATTGTACCAGCACCAAATGATAGGTGAGGGTGATTGTGGAGCAGTTAGTGGAATGAAGATTGGCAGGGGAAACCGAAGTACTGGTATAAAACCTTCCCCAGCGCCACTTTGTCCAACACAAATCCCACTTGACCAGACCCGGGATCGAACCCGGGCCGCCGCGTTGGGAAGCCAGCGACTAACCGCTTTAGCTATGGCGCGGCCTCCAGTAAGTAAGTAAGTAAGTAAGTAAGTAAGTGATTTTATTGGCCGCTCCATAGCTCAAGCGGTTAATCGCTGGTTTCCCATCGCGGCGGCCTGGGTTCGAGCCCGGGTCTGGTTAAGTGGGATTTGTGGTGGACAAAGTGGCGCTGGGGCGGGTTTTCTCCGAGTACTTCGGTTTCCCCTGCCAATCTTCATTCCACCAAATTCTCCATCATCATAATCACCCGGGGCATGTACAATAGGCCAATCAGTGGCCGCCGTGCCGAGTGGACCCAGCTGGACTCCACCCCCAATAAGCGAATTAAAGAAAAAAAAATTAAGTGATTTTATCATCATCATCATAATCAATGACAATCAATGACAATTCTGTCAAATTGTATCCGGTTTACACTTCTCAGGATTTCGCAACAATGTTTCTGTTTACAGAGCAAGGTCGTCAGGCTTGCGTGCAACCTCAAAACTGGGGGACCACGTCCCTGTATTTATGTCCCACAGTGACAGGGTGGCTCAGTTTTACATCTAGTTGTCGCGTTCCCTATTCGTCGCCTTCTACGACTCGCAGGGCTACGGTGGAGGTATTGTAACTCGCCTCCACAAGGGGCATCTGTGATTTTATAGCAGATGCTAAAAAAACGTGTGTCGTGCATTATTCAGGCGCGTTTCCGAGTTACGCGTGGCAGTTGTTTATTCTGTGATGTCCATAATAACAATCCAGATGCCAATTTCAAAGTCCTGTATAAAGTAAAAAATTTTTTTATCATTTGGTGGGTTATTTTAAGGCATTGTGGGCATATGGACCAGTGGGCACAGAATTTTTGACACGATGCCTCTCTTTGTTTTTACAAAACCCTTGCATTCCCTTCGCATATTTTTGCTCAAGTAAACGTAATTGTTTGTGATCGGTCCACCCCTTTCCTGGAACCCACCACTCCCCCTCCAAGGGGGGCGCCACCACCAGTCCAGGAAATACTGATCTAGGTTATATACCGTCGAATGGTAGAATGACTGGTGGATTGGAATGGATTTGAAAGGAAGCGGTCGTGGAGTAAGGGGGGTATTAAGCACTATCTCAGCAATGTTAATTTTGTCATATTGAGATAGCTGCAAAAGTACAGTCATGAAATTTTGGGGATTTCATTCTCAATTGGCTTTTATCATTGTAATATTCTCCTAAACATATTTCTTTTATAATTTCTCTTCTAATAGAATAATTCTTCCAACGTTTTTGATAGGTAAATATAAAACAGTCATGATTCTATGTGTTAGACATGTAGAAGACATAAATAGCAGTAGAATTGTTTTTATA